TACAGGTTTATTTTAATAAAAATAATAATAATTTCTTTATCCTTTCCTTTTCACTTCCTTTTTTCTTTTTTTATCTACCTTTTACTGTTCCTTTTCTCCCCTTTTCTTTACCTTTCATATAGGGTTATTAAGATGCTGAACAAAAATGACCCCATTAAGATTTTAGGCAAAATAATATTGATGATAAAATAAGGTAAACACAAGAATTATATTTATTTTTTTGACTAATAATTCAAGATATGTATACTATAATAATAAAGAATATTTTATACAAAATAAATAATGAATATATTGTAGCAAAATATATAATTATTTTCCATTCTTTTCTTTCTTCAGTAAAAAAAGGAATATTTTATAGATAATATACAAATCAATTTTAAATAAGCATTTATTTATGTTACTATTATTTGTATTTTATTGATAATATATTTAAAAAAGGAATATTTTATAGATAATATACAAATCAATTTTAAATAAGCATTTATTTATGTTACTATTATTTATATTTTATTGATAATAATTTAATTTTATATGAACATAATGTTTATTTAAACATATCCATCATTAAGACCTCGATCTTACACGTTTGTTATATTAGCCAATAGGTTTAAATTTCCAAACAGTGGATATTAACCCACACCATTGGATATGCTTTCTAAAGGGGATCAATAGCACTCTCTTATTATAGAAAATCACTTATTTACTCCTCTACAGGTTTTATTTCAATAATAATAAGTTATATTTATTTTTTTTCTTTTACCTTCCATTATTCCTTTTCTCCTTCTTTTCTTTACCTTTCAATTTTTATAGGGTAATTAAAATGCTGATATGGGTTGATTTTTAAAAATGACCCTATTATTATTTTAGACAAATTATATTATATGTCTCGAGATTTGTCAGAATAGAGGTCCAAACATTTCTGCCACCTACGAGCAAAATCATCAGTCTTATATATTATTTTGGCTAAAATCTTAATTGGGTAGTTTTTAAAAATCGACCCAAATGATACTTTTTAACAATCCCCCCCCCCTTCCCCCTACCGTTTCTTTTCATTATTGCCCCTTTCTTTTCCTTAACCTTTTGCTATCCCCTTTTCTTTCTTTCTCCTTTTTTCTTTCCTTTTCCCTTTCCTCTTCCTGCTACTACTTTACAGATTTTTTTTTTCTTTTCTATTTTCTTTTTCTTCTCATTTTCCTTACCCTTACTTTTTTTCCATTAGCTTTTACTTTCCCTTTACATTTTTATTCCTCCTTTCCCCTATTCTTTTCCTTTCTATCCTTTCCCCCTTTTCTTTTCTTTTCATTTTCCTTTCACTTTTCTTTTTTTAAATATTATTACTTTCACTTTAACCTTTTCACTATTTTTTATTTCACTTTCCATTATCTCGTTTCCTTTTATTTTTTTCACCCAAATTTCCTTTTTTCCCCTCTCCCCTCTTTTTCTTTCCCTTTTTCATTTCATATTTTTCCTTTCCTTAACTTTTAGCTTTCCCCTTAACTTTTTTGTCCCCTTTTCATTCCTTTTCCCCTTTTCCTCTCCCTGCTCCTTTCCAGATTTTCTTTTCTTTCTCCTTTCCCATTTTCCTTTCCCTTTCTTTTTTCCTTTATCATTATCTTTCCCTTTACATTTTTTTCCCTCCTTTACTTTTCCTTGCTCTTTCTTTTTCTTACCCTTTTTCTTTTCTTTCATTTCCCCCTTTTCTTTTAATTTTTCTTACACTTTTCCTTTTTTATCTATTTTTTCTTTCATTATATCCTTTTTTCTATTTTTTATTTTACTCTATATTATCCCGCTCCTTTTTTTCTCGCCCCATTTACTATTCCCCTTCCCCCCCCTCCCTTTAGCTTTTCTTTTTCCTTTTTCTTTCTTTCCTCATTTTTTTCCTTTCCCCTTTTTCTCTCCCTGCTCCTTTCCAGATTTTCTTTCCTTTCTCCTTTCCCATTTTTTTTCCTTCTCATTTACCTTTACCTTTCCCTTTCTTTTTTCCTTTATCATTTTCTTTCCTTTTACATTTTTTACCCTCCTTTCCCTTTTTCTTATCCTTTCTCTTTCTTTTTCTTACCATTTTCTTTCCTTTCCCCCTTTTCTTTTCATTTTTCTTTCACTTTTCCTTTTTTATCTATTTTTCTTTCACTTTCATTATCCCGTTTCCTTTCCTTTTTTTCTCACCTTATTTACTTCCCCCCCCCCGTTTTTCTTTTCCTTTTCCTTAACATTTAGCTTTTCTCCTTTCTTTCTTTCTTTCTTTCTCCCATTTTCTTTCCTTTCCCACTTTTCTCTCCCTGCTCCTTTCCAGATTTTTTTTTTCCTTTCCCATTTTTTTTTCCTTTCCCATTTTATTTTCCTTTCCTTCTCATTTCCTTTTCTTATATTCCTTTATCTTTTTTTCCCTTTGCATTTTTTTTCCACTTTTCCCTTTTCTTTTCCTTGCTCTTTCTTTTCGTATCTCCTTTCCCCTTTCTTTTCCCCCTTTTTCTTTTCTTTTCTTTTCTTTTCTTTACTTTTTTTATTTTTCTTTTCCTTATCATTTCACTTTCCTCTTTTCTTTTCTTTCCTTTCCCCCTTTTCTTTTTTATTTTTCTATCCCCTTTTTTAACCTTTTTCTTTTCCTTACCCTTTTTATTTCCCTCTCCCCACTTCCATTTTTTTTTATTCCGTATTTCTTTTTCTTTCTCCTTTCCTTTCTTTCCCATTTAATTTATCTTCTTATCTTCCCCTTTCTCTTTATTTTATTTCATATCATATCATATCATATCATATCATATCATATCATATCATATCATATCATATCATATCATATCATATCATATCATATCATATCATATCATATCATATCATATCATATCATATCATATCATATCATTTCATATCATATCATTTCATTTCATTTCATTTTATTTTCATTTCATTTCATTTCATTTCATTTCATTTCATTTCATTTCATTTCATTTCATTTCATTTCATTTCATTTCATATCATTTCACTTCATTTCATTTTCTTTTCATTTTCTTTTCCTTTCATTTTCATTTCATTTTCTTTCCATTTCATTTTCATTTCATTTTCATTTCATTTTCATTTCATTTCATTTTCATTTCATTTCATTTTCATTTCATTTTCATTTCATTTTCATTTCATTTTCATTTCATTTCATTTCATTTCATTTCATTTCATTTTCATTTCATTTCATTTTCATTTCATTTCATTTTCATTTCATTTCATTTTCATTTCATTTTCATTTCATTTTCATTTCATTTTCATTTCATTCCCCTCTTCCCTTTTAAATTTCCTTTTTCTTTTTTCTCTTTACTTTCCTTTTAATTTCCTTCTTTTCTTTTTATTTTCCCTTTATTAATCTTTTACCCCCCCCCCCCTTTATTTCCCTTTCTTTACTCTTTTCCCTTTGCCTTCCTTTCTTTTTTTTCCTTTCTTTTGTTTACCTTTTTATTTCTTTTCCCTTGTCTTTCACCCCCTTTTTCTCTTTCCCCTTTCATACCCTTTTCGCATACTCATTCTCCCCATTTTCCAATCCCTTTTCTTAATTTTTTCCCTTTCCCTTTCCTATTTCCTTCATCTTTATTTTTTTTCTTTCCCTTTTACAATTTTTCACTTCTTCTTCTTTCTTTTTTTATTTTCCCTTTCTTCCTTCCATCTCGGCATTAGATTTTTCATTTTTAGAAAAAGTTTAGGCGATCTTGAAAATTAGAAGCCTGTAGCAGTTTAGATTTTTTTATAAGGGCTAAGGGGTCAGTGAGTTTGGCTTCCGTACAAATTGCTTGAATGTTGACGTATTATTCTTCAGCCCGGGTAAGAATACATCTGTATTTCTTCGTCGAAAATGTTGCAATTAATAAAAAAATAAATACTCGTCAAATATATGCGTTTTAGTTGCTACGGAATTTGGGAAATTCTAGTTTGAACATTCCAGAATTTTATTTTCTTTTATTGCCATGATCATCTTTTAGGTATGTTAAGAATAAGATAATTTGAAATAGAAATTTTTTGAATTTTGTTTTTGTTATAAATGAGATTTATATTATATATTATCAATGTTATAAATGTCATACATAGAAATCAATCATATTAATATATATATCAGGTGATTGCCAGTCAATAAAGCCATCCATATTTGTGTATGCTTATTTAAGACTAATTAGTATAGTTTTATACCTATATTACTGATTCCACAAATAAAATAGAAGGAATATATAGTGACCGTCGTAGGCGCCAAATAAATTTTGTTTGATATTAATAACAATGATTCTATTAATAAAATTATTAACAGGAATATATTAGCCATGCTGAAATTAGGGGTAATTTGGAAAAATAAATGTACTCGTCTATTTATATAAAATTCTATTTTTAAAATCAATAAACGAAGCTTATTTATTACTTATTATTTAGATATTGTAAAACTACATTTCATTTAAAAAGTGCTTTTCATTATAAAAATTTGTTCCATATATATAGAAAATTTTTCATAATATTAAGTTACAATATTAACATTTGAATTAATTTAACACAAAGAGTTAATGTAGATTAATAAAAATAACAGTAAAATTTTTTAAGTAAAATGAAATATAAATATAACCTTAGGGTATAAAATATTTGAAACAAAGTATTTAAATTGCTAAAATATATGAATGTAGTAACAAAAAAATTAAGTTTTAGTCTACAAAATAAAAAATGAAAATCAATATACACTATTATCATAAAAAATATTGTCCATAATGTTGCTAATATAAGGTACCGAGTTAGACTTTATATATCACATCTAATTTATAAAAACTACATTAAAATTGTGAATTAGAAATCATGGTTCTGCTTTTATAATATTCTTATCAAAATATATATAGCTATATTATGAGAATTAGTTATTTCCCTTTCTTGTTTAGAAAATATATATATTAAAAATCTAATTTTTAAATTTAAATTAAATTTTGGTATTGCGCAATATATTTTTTAAAATAATCCCTACCAATAATTTTAAATTTCAACTACGACCTAAATATTATAAGAAATGACAAAATTTAAAATTGCTTTTTTAGAGGTATATTGCATTTTCAATATAATCATTTTTAAAATTGACAATAAAGTAATGCGATATTTTGTATTCCAAAGCTATAGTCTTGCATTATCTGTTAAATATTATTAAACAGTTTATAGATATATAAAACGAGAAAATTCTATAAAAATGAATGAAAATAGGACAAATATAACAATTAATTTTAATAACAATGATCTGATGAATATGAAAAGAATTGAAGTCAATAATCATATGATCCCCAAATTGAATTCCAATTATAAACCCACCACATCACCATTTACAGAACAAAAATCTTTATCAAAAACTATGGTATTTTATTTAAGTATTGACTTTTTATTAATAAATTTAAAAGACACCCAGAATATGTGATTATACAAATATATGCAGTTTACAACAGATTTCTCCCAATCCTTTAACAATTGTTGCACGAGTTTTAAGTTTCCCTTCAAATAAATCACTGCAAAATAGTAAATTTAGATGCACCTGAATTGTATGAATTATGTTTTTATTACTAAGAAATATATATTATAAGTAATATTTTAATTATAAAATATTAGATATTATTGTCAATAAGATGGCATCTATAACTACCAAGGAAGATAAAAATCTAACCACTTACATTGCACTTCCTAAAAACTTAATAACAAATCCATTAAGTCTTTCTTTACCTGCTATCACATTAAATAGTTATCAAAATAATATAACACACCAAGAAATATTTAAAAAAAAAACAACCTTTTCAAAAGTAACTCCAATTTTGCCCAAAACAATTGTATCTCAAAAAATGACATCATCTATACACCAAATGCCAATATCCTCTACAACAGTAAACATTGCTAAATACATTAATAAAAAAATAGTGAATTGAATTTATAAGTTTACATTACTAAATTATATTTATGTTAAGATGAACACTAATTTTAAAATTTTCTTTGACTTACTCAATGCATAATTAAATACTTTACTAAGTAGCTTGTAGTCTGTCAATAAGTTTTATAAGCTCCCTAACATAAACAAAAGCATGAGGATTCTCTTCTACTGAAACATGGTCCCAAAACATATTAATTGGAACCCTTCATGGGCCAATCCAACTAAACTCAGCTATGACTGGGACAAATATTTTCTTGGATATTAGATTTAGATGTATTTTAAAATTTATTTGAATTGAATTCAGACTTTAAAATTTTTTTAAAATTTATTTGAATTGAATTCAGACTTTAAAATTTTTTTAAAATTATTTTGTTTTTCTAATTTATCATAGATGTGAACCCTTTGATAAAAAAGTGTTTGGGTTCAGGAATAAAATTTAAAGAGGGGGTTTGAGACTGGGTTTAGGGTTTAGATAACACAAAAAAAATATTGACTCAAAATAAAACAATTTTTTTCCATTTATTTACTTTTTATACTCTAAATAAATATATATACAAAATTTACAAGTAAAAAATATTTTTTATAAATATTTTATTCGCATATCATGTCATCTTCTAAAATATCATGATTTCAAGGCAAATCTGACAATATATCTAAGAAGAAAGTCTACCTTTTACACTGATCTAAAATAAAATCTTTATAATACATCATAAATTATTGTACTTGTGTTGCTGGTATTAGTGTTACAGCTTATTTTGAGAGAATTTTTAAAAACGGCTGACTCAATACTTTATTAGGAAATATATTATGCAAGCCTTAAGATTTTGCTTATGGGTGGCATAACAGTTTGAACATCTATTAACGAAATCTCGAGGTATAGACAATATTTTTCTGGCTACAATATTGAGTTATCCGTTTTTAAAAATCGGCTTAAATCCAGCCATTTAACAACACTAGTCACACCCAATCAAGCCCGATAAAAATTTTGAGAAGGCTTGACACCTATAATTTAAAATTTATTTATACTCACGCCATGCCCCATTCTATCACGCTTAATTTCTAGGCCTTTAGTTAACTGTTTTTCTCAATACTCAAGCCTGTCAATAAATACATAAGCTAAATGAATCTAGCTTATTCATCTAAACATGTTGTTTAGAATCTATAAAGCAGAAATGGATTTAAAGCTATCTGGGGCTCCCATGAAGATTTTTTTAAAATGTTTTTACAATTTAATAATGTGTTATATTGATATATTTTAGATGAGTGCATATAATAAAAATATTCACAATGCAAATTTTCTCCTACGACTGAACACAGACACCAATATGGTTAATGCAATAAAGATGCCACCAAATATCTCACACATGAAAGGTCCATATATTTTATTTAAATATAATAAAGATTTTAATAAAATGGTTGTAATAATAAAATTTCATTTCATTAAATTTTTTGTATATATTTCAATTATAAATATTGATTTGCAAATGACAAAATTATTTTAAAATCGTTAAAGGTCAAATATTTTTTAGCTGGGTTCCCAAGAAGGTATTATTATATTTTGGTGTTTTTAATATGCATTGTTTGGCTGTGGAATGAAAATTATTAATCTATAAAGATTTTATTTAATTTTATAGTTTAATAATTTTAAAAGTTTCTGATGGAAATAAAAATACCTTTGCCATACTAGCCTTTTTCTTCTGACCTGGGATATCACCCCCACCCCAAAGCCCCAAGAAGGTAGTTCTCCTTGAACTATATTCAAATCCAATCTACTTAGCATGGAATCCTCTTATGCTCTCTCTTTTATCACCTTATTTTAATACCCCTATTTTTTCTATTTATTGTTGTGCTTTTTCATAACATAATTTCTTTGATTCATATGATCAATATAACTGGATCCATTTGAGCTAGAGCTTTAAGACATTAATAATGACTAAGTTGGACTCTTTATAACCATCATATAAAGTTCATTCGTTTTCAAGTATGGTGGTTAAAAGTTTACCTGGGAAAAAATCTTCAGGAAAAAAATTTCCCTAAAAATAACTCCCCCCCCCCCACTCAGGAAAATAAATCCCTTGAATTAAAATTTTCACAGAAAATTCCCCATTTTTTTTATATCTTAAAAAAATATATTTTTTTTAGAAAATTGATAAAAAAAAATTCCCATAAATATATCCACGAAAAAAATTATTCAAATAATTTAATTGAAAAATTTTAAGAATCCCATAAATATATCCCCGAAAAAAATTATTCAAATAATTTAATTGAAAAATTTTAAGAAAATTAACAATATAAAAAAAAATTCTGGAAAATATATCCTTGAAAAAGATTTCTCAAATAAAATTGGTAACCAAAATTACAAACAATTAAATGTAATTAATAGTAAACTTGCTAATTTTTAAAATAAAATATTATCAATTATCCCTAAACCATATAGTGTGTAACATTATACATTATCCAGAACCTAGTTTTGGTAAAAATAAACAAAGATCGAGATTTCAAGTTATTAAAATAAAATAAATAATTTTGGTTTGCCTTTAAACATTTTCCCCAACTTAGATATTTATGGGAAAGAATTTTTAAAGGATTATCATGACTGTAAGAAATTTTATAAAAAATTACCTTCATATCATTTTTTTTCCTTTTTAAAAAAATATTTATTTACAATTTTTAGAACTCAGTTTTTTTAAAAAAAATTATGTTAATAATAATTTTCAAGTAGTTTTAAGAAATATATTAGAAAATATAATATCAAAAAATAGTTGGCAACACGAACATTTTTCAATCAGCTGAAAAATAATAAAGATTCGTTTTACATGAATTTTCTCCTCATATTATTGATTCCCGTTTATAAATAGTTATCCTTATAATTTTTCATCTGAGTATTGTAAAAATAACCTATTATTTCATTTTCATCATTATCACCAGAGATGTGAACTCGACAAAAAAAAGGGTACAGGAATAAAATTTAGGATCCAGGGTTTGGGTCCAGGTTCAAGGAACATAAAAAATGACTCAAAATAAGACTTTTTTTCATTCATTTATTATTATACTTCATAATATACATTAAAAATTTAAAAATGAAATAATTTATATTTTAAATGTTTTATTCAATCGCATAATCATAATATCTTCTAAAATATCATCCTTAAGATTTCCACGTAAATTAGACAATATATATTTCAAAGATGAAAATCCACATTTCACATTTACCTAAAATAGATAGCTATCTTTATAATATATAAATTATTGTACTTGTGTCACCGGTACAGCCATGATGATTAGACAAGATATATGATTCGATATATTGAAGAATTTTCTTCCATTTATATCCTTATTTATTTTCTTAAATTCTGAGAGTTTTTTTTAAAGATGTAATAGGCATTTTTTGTTCTTCCTTATCTGATGATAATTTGATTTTTTTCCCTATCTAAAAGTAAAATTTCAATTATCAATGTGCTATCATTATCATTTTTATCACTATAACCAGTAGGTATAGTCGTAGCCTCCAATATGTTGTAAATAATGGAGTTTTGCATATGTCATAAATCCTAAAGATCGTCTTTAGCTATTTGTTTTGCTCATTACTCAATAAAGCTTCATATCGAGGGTCTAGATATTTAGAAGCATATAAAACACTATTTTGCAAATCTCAAATTTTCATGTTTTCTAATATTTTTTATGAAAAGGACTAGTAAATCTTAAATCCAATTGGCATCTAATCCATATCCATAAAAATCAGATAAACATTATTGTGATCTTAATATTGTTATTTTTAAAGGAATTAATACACTAATAAGGTACTTTATTTGGCACCAATCATCTTTCGACAAAACGAATTTACATGCTACTATAATAAAATCAGTAAAGAAATCTTTCAAACTTAATAATCGTTCTGGCATGATACAAACTGAGGACCAACGTGTTGTACAATCTAATATTGCCATTGACCCTTTCATTGATTTTAATATTCTTGTAATTGTGGGAGTTCTTAAATATTTTGCAACATCCCTTGCTTTATCAATGATAGTTTTAAAGTGAATATTTTTAAGGCAATCAATAATAGCCAATTCTGGAGTATGGGCTGCACATCTGATGCAATATATATTTGTGGATAAATCTTTTATTATTTCTTGTAAATTATTTTCATTTATGTCTTCATAATTATCATCATCATCGTCTATATCATCCATCTCTTCCAGTGAGCTTTCATTTAATAATTTAATTGATTTTATAAGATTAGCACCATTATCCTTAGTAATAGGAATATTAAATTTATTTAATGTTTCTAATATTATTTTTTTTATATATTCAGAAGTTGCACTCTCTTTAATCTCCTTCATAGCTAAATTTCTTAATTATTATTCCCTTTTATATACTGTATATTTATTCCTAGAATATTTCTCCCAAATCTTTTGGCAGAATCAATTCTTAATAAAATTAATTTATTGTTTCTTTTATTATTTTTGCTTTTATTTTTTACGATTCATTAACCACTACGTCTTTAATTTTCAAACGGTTAATTGATATTCCAATTGCCTTATTAATAGGATCAATAATTTTTTTAACCACAATCCTCAATAATATTGAAAGGTCTTCCATTTATAACTAACTCAACCAAAGCATTCATTAAATTCTCCTCAGACATTACAATATGAATGCTTTTTTAAAGCATTTTCAATATTATTTTCATCCTTCTTTACTATACTGACAGTAGACCTTGTAACTGTCTTCTTCCAAAAATTTGGTTTTTCCTCAAAAATTATAGAATGATGTCTTCTTAAATGTTTTTCGAGGTTAGTATTGTGTAAACCTTTTGTAGCTATGTGGCAGGTTTTGCACTCAGAATCCCCTTTAGTTGCATTATAATACTCTAACAAAATATCTTTTATTATCATACTAAAAAATAAATAAACAAAATTATTAAAAGTAGTTCAAACTGTATAAACATTTATTTATAGAAAATTATTTTATAAATTTAATTTTTGTAATTTAAAATTTTGTGTAGGCTATGTCCTAAATTAAAAAAAAATTACTCAAAAGTTTTGTGAGATGCACAACTTTCGTGAGTTTTGAGAGATACGAAATATGTCCCGAATCATACATTTATTTTCAATTTAAAATATATAAAATGTTTGATGTGAATGATTTACTAATTCTTATTTTATATTTGAAGATACGACTAAATGTAGAAAATGCATAGATTTTTAAAAGGCTGGTATATATCATATTTATATTATATATATTACAAATTTCGTCAGATGTACATTCTTATAAATTTGGAGTCTATAGACACCACTATAGTTAAACATAAAACTATCAGTATGAAGCATCGCCTCTATATAACACTCATGATGAATATTTTTTTATATAAATAATCAGAATATATTTAAAGATATTTGACAGCTGGTATGAGCTTTAGAAAAATAGCATTATATGCAAAGATTGGCAAAACATCAGTAAACATTATTGTCACATCAACATGTAGGTTAATGGGTAGGTCTTCAATCCAAGCATCTCTGTTTACCAACAGTTGAACAGATGCTTGAAATATCAGCAGATTACTTCAGGAAATCAAGTTTTCCTATAATGGATGCTATATTGTTCGAAAACATGTAAAAATAAAACAACCTACAAATAGTGGATCCACATTTTTTAATTATAAAAAATTTAATTCCATTGTGATTCAAGGTGTTTCAAAAGACAAATCTAGGTAATTATATATTTACTAAATTTTAATTTTTTTCTAGATTCATGTTAATTGAGGTTGGTTTTCCTGGATTTATCTCAGGTAAAAGCATCTTTACAAAGAGCTTATTTTATGAAGGAATGATCAATAAAATCATCAAGATACCCAATCCAAGTTTTTTTACCTTCAACAGGTAAATTATCACCATAAGTAATTGTGGGAGGTGATGCATATCCTTTAATGAATTTTATAGTGAAACCATCCATATAAAACAAATTTAAATGATCAAATTTTAATAAAAAATTTTCTACAGCAAGAGTATCAGTAGAGAGATGTCTTGGCATTATGAGTGCCAAATTTAGACACTTATATAAATTCTTAGAAACTGATATTACTAATACTATACAAATAGTTAAGGCTGACTGCCCATTACACAATCTTATTATTGATATTAAAGGCAATCATTGAACATCAATAAATTATGAAGAATAGCCAACTCCAAATACCCAATCTCAGTTCCAGCGATAAGAAACATTTAACTTATATTAATTTTGTATTATTAAGCCATATATGTAAAATTTTTATATACATCTATTTTTTAATTACCACTACCACCTTATTAACTAATTCCCATCTTAATTTTATTTTAATTTTTTATAATGTCATTTCATTTATTATTTCC